ATTAGTCGCTTATCGCAATCTTCATCCTCTCCCTATGATTTAGGGCAGAACGTTCTCATCTCTGAATACTAGTCATGGAAACCAAACTGCTAGACGAGTTATGTTTGTAATTCAAGAAAAAGCTTAATTTATGAGAAAAGTTCATTTCTTTACGAAAGTTTCTCCGCAAAGTTCGAAGTTGCAACCCCACTTTCAGAAAAAGAACCTAAAGAAATCCTCGAGGATACGGAGTACAAAAGTAAACACGAGTGCTTAGCTCACAAGGTTTTCTCTTTTCAGAAAAAGAATCTTAAGAAATCCTTGAGATATGGAGTACAAAAATAAACACAAGTGCTCTTTATAGATCGGAAAAAATTAAACATTTCAATGAGATGACGTTCAACCAATGAACTTCAAGATCACACACTAAATAGCACTAAACTCAACGCAAATGCTCTTGTAGCAGAAGAAATTTTAGCAGACCAATAAAATATGATATCCTAAGGGTTAACTGTATATAGACCTTGTGTTGTATCATACTTTTCTTTTGCCCCTTTTTACTTTTCTTTTGACAAGGGGACCCTGGCTAGTGCACTCGGTTACCCAGGGGAAGCCCTGGGTTCGATCCGCCGATTCCATTGGGGCTGTTTGGTTCCCTGTTTTTGAGGGAAAGCCACTGTTGAAAACCTGCTAAAAGTGTTAAAAGTGTCACTTTTTGGCAGGTTTTCAAGCAAAATCCTCTTTTTTAGAGGCGTTTTTGCTTAAAGCCTGCCAAAAAAGTGACCCTTTGGCAGGCTTTCAAGGGAAATTTTTTTTAACCAAACAGCCCCTAAAGAAGCCACGCCCTATATGACCAGAGGGTCCCACCACCAGGTGACTGGCCTCCTGTGGGGTGGATCCAAACCAAGCCCAAGCTCTCTGGTCTGGGTCCACTAGCCAGGTAAACCGCACACCCTGCTGTCCCCGTGCCCACAAACAGAATCAGGTAAATGTGTGGATGGGGATTCTACCGAGGGAGATAGGGGATAAAGCCCCTCCAAGATCTCCTTGTCTTAATCCCCTACGCCCACACTTTAAAACTTATCCGTCCTATACTTTGATTTTGACTGACTGACTTCTTAAATAAATTTTTTTGACCTTTTTATTCTCAATTAAACTCATCAGTTCTACCTAGTTGTAATATATGACAAATTTCATCAAAATATGAAAGGAGTTGAAAAGTTTTATAAACCACGTCACACTCTGTCAAAAACTATAGTGGCAATAAGATCCAAAGAAAAAACCTCTTGCAAATGGCTAGGGCTGTCCATTCAGGCCTAAGGCCCGGACCGGACCCCGGTCGTGCTAGCGCCTCGGTTAGAGCTGTCCATTCAGGCCCAAGTCCCGGACCCAACTTAGGTCAGGTTGCTTTAGCGGAGCCCGCACAAGACCAAGCCCGAAAAATAGCTAGGTCGGGGATGCCCGGGTCCAGGTCTAACTCTGACCGGGGCCCGGCTTCGGTGGCAGGGAATGGAACGGGCCGATTCGGCCTGGTCGACCCGAGGCTAAGCAGTCCAAATTTTTTATCGTTGGGCTAGGCGGCCCGGACCGGGCTCAGACCCGACCTAGTGCAACGGTTAAATTATAACTGTTGGACAAGCGGTCCGGCCCGGCCGACGGGAAAACAACCAGGTCTAAACGGTCAAAAAAGTGACCGTAGGACCGAGCGGCCCGAGCCTAGCCCAGACCCGGCTCGGTTCGGACAACCCCTATTCTTTTCTAGTGATTTATGTATTCATTCATCTTACATTCGAGATGAGATTGCTTTTCCTTTTTATATATATCTAATCATCAACCTACTGTCATCTAAAAAAACCAGAGGCTCAAAAGAAACTGATTTTAGAGAGAAAAAAACATCAAGTAAAATAATTACGGGTTTTTACATCAAAACCACGTTTAATTTTATCCAAATTAATAGTTACCACATTTAAAGGTTTTTTTATGTAAACCACCTTTACTTGCTAACATGTTTGTAATGTTACATCTTTTTTTACTGTTCACCCACGAAAAATCAGATATTTTCATTTTACCCTCATCTTCTTCCTTCCAACCCCTAACACTGGCCTCGTCCATTCTCCTCTTCTACAAACCCTAACTCTAATCCTAACCTATGGTCGCCACCTCCCCCAAAACCTAACCCGAACCCTTACCCATGTCCACCACCTCCCCCAAACCCTAACCTTGGTCCTAGTTCCCACTTGGAAGGAATGGGAGAGTGGGAGGTCAGCGAGGAAGAGGGAGGACGAGAGAGGGGGGAAGAGTTGGGGGAGGAAGGAGAGGGAAGAGGGGGAGGATAGGAGGATGAGGAGGCTAGGGTTAGGGTTAGGGTTAGAGGAAGGAGATGAAAAAAATAAGAAAATGGTGAGGGTTAAGTGGTCATTTCGCGTATTTTTTGGTTGAAAACTAGATTAGGTGTGACGTTACAAACATGTTAGCAACTTTAAAGATGATAAGTATCAATTTGGGTAAAAAGTAAATGTGGTTTTGATGTAAAAACCCAATAATTATTAAAAAAACTATCGATTACTTACTAATGATAATTGAGTAGAAGGTGTCAAGATATAATGTTCTGATCCAAGAAATGAACTCTAGCGATTAAAAATTTTACTAGAATCTTCAAATACTTCTAATAATTTTGTAAACTTTTGTGCTGCATACCAATCATCATCACTTATAAGATGTTCACATTTTGAAAGTTGGGAGTTAATGAAAACAGTAATTGGATCTTTACATGGAAGTCAAGCTTGTAACATATAACAAGTTGAATCCCAACGAGTTGTAAAATCACATGGAAAATTTCCAGGAGTTAAACCAAAATCTCTACATATTTGTTTGAAAGGTTGTGTTTTGCGACAAATAAAGCTTGAAGCATTTCTATTTTTTTCTATATGTGAATTAATTTGATTTAAATTAACCATCTTTTACACAAAGACTTATAAAATGACAAATACAATGAACATTGGACAAATTATCATATAAAACTGGATTTAAAGCACCCTTTAAATAATCTATTGCGACGTTATTACTAGATGCATTATCAAATGAAGCATTGAGAATTTTGTTATCTAATTCATAAGCTTTAGTTATTTCCATAGCTTGATCACCTGTCCACCCATCAAGAGGAAGAGTAAAAAAATCAAGAACTCTTTTTTGCATTATCCGATCAGTATCTGTCTAACGAACGATTATACAATAATAAGACATAAAAATTAGAGGTGCTGCCGAAATTTCCGCTGCAGAGGTGCTGCCGAAATTTTCACTGCGCACAACAAGTGGTATCAGAGCTTCATGTTTGGCTTGAGGTTTGTTCGAAGGATTCGGTGAAGGATTCCTATCTGAAGAGTTAGATCGACAACATGGGAGGTGGAGAATTGTGAACGTGGGATATCAACTAATCCATAAGAAATCGTGTTCGTCCAAACATCAGAAGTTAATACAACTTTAGTAGGCAAAGATGTTAGCATAGCAACTAAAAGCTCTTTATTTTTCTCATACAAGCAAAAAAAATGTCAGCTATGATAATGTTTTTAGGGATTTCCCCATATTTTGGTTCTAAAGCTTGGGCAGACTCCACAAAATCAGGATCCTCCCCCATAGTAAAATATTGTAGGTCACTGATAACAATATATTTTGTTAACACCTCTACCATTCTCTGATGATTGTATCTAAAATATTGAAAATATTCTCCAATTGTGCTTACTTGTGTTTCTAAGTCTTCTTCATCATTCTTGTCTACGCGCATGTGATCTTTAGAAGTGATGGTGTAATGAGCATATGAAGAAGGATAAGATTATCATTTTAATTTCTATGATATTTGTATTTACAAATTGTATATTTATAAGTGATTAATAATATGATTGAATTTTTGTCTAAATCTCGCATATCTTAATTACTCTTAAAATTTTCTTTTTTGAAAAAAAAAACTAATTTTAAGCAATTTTTTAAAAACAAAGAAAAAAGGGGCCCACCCAATACCCGGCCTGCTCGGGCCCGACCCGGCCCTCCGAGTCCAAGTCCGAGTTCGGGTCCAGGTCTGGGCCACCTATTTTTCTTGGCCGGACCCGTATTTCCAGATCAGGCTGGCCTGAATGGATAGGCCTACAAATGGCCTGCTAGTTGTTGCTTTGAGTCTTACCCAAAAGGCCGACGGTCGATCTATGCCTATGACATGTCTATCACGAATTTTTATTTATTAAACATTGCAATACTTATGTTATTTTTTTTCTAATACCGTGAAATCTTTTGTGTTGTTACTTGAAAAGAAAAGGTTGAAGAAAGAAAGAATTAAATAATAGAGGCATATAAGCACTAAGACAAAGATCTCCTCCGGCAGCTAATTAATAGGCCTTAATGACGAAGATTTGGAATGGTCCGCAGGCGGGACCCATTATTGTTGCTTTCTTTGGCCGTGAGCCGAACCAACCCTTATCTGATTGATTAATGAAGCACTAAATTAAGGACTTGGCTAATTAAAAATAATGATAAAATAACGAAAAACAACAATTAATTCCGCCAGATGAAGAATAAGTCAATACTGGGACAAATATCAATGTATATTTTAGATACAATTGTATGTGGATCTTAGAATTAAGGAATCTTGCTAATTAAAAAATATTGATAAGATAACGAAAAACAACAACTAATGCTACCAGATGAAGCTTAAGTTAATACTGGGACAAATATCAATGTACGTATCTTTTCACCAGAGCAATACAAAGATCTTGTCATTTATTTCTAAAAATTTTAATACTATCTTTATTTTGACAATCATCTATTTCTTAGCCTAAAAGCTCATATGATCAGATATGTAAACCAAAAGGATATTTAGAAAAAATGATGAAACAGAGAGAAATACAACTAAATACCCATCACTCAATTCGTTCAAAACAAAGATTTTAAGAACAATCAAAAAAGAGAAGGAAAAAAAAAGAAGGGAAATATACACAGAGAAATAAGGTGATCACAAAAAGGATAATACTTACCCGAGACGGAGTCGACGAATTGGCCGTTGATGAAGAGCTTGGTGAACTTGATCTCTGGCATCTTGTTGCTTTCTATATTGCCATGGCCATCCATCTTGAGATAGAGAGAGAGAGAGATAGACAGAGAGAGAGAGAGAGAGAGAGAGAGAGAGAGAGAGAGCTTGTATGTGGTGGAGAGAGTGTTGGACTATTTGTAGATGCTGAACGAATATACAAATTTAGCAAAAAGCCCCCAGTTAGGAGTCTGTTGCACAGAGCCCTTTCTTTGTTCTGGTTGGAACTATTCTTATTTCTGAATCAAATGAAAAATGTTGAACAAATTGTTTTTGGAACAACCAAGTTATTCAAGACTACAATATAATCGTTTCTGCACACAAAACCTTTTAAATTATTGATAATGCTCTTCATTTGTACTTGATAGTTATTATATGCAGTATCTTTATTAATGGAAGTTGAAAATTGGAGAAAGCTCAATCCAAGAGAAGTACTTAAAGTGAGAGCTGCTTTTTTTTTCCTTCCACTAAAGAGTTGATTACTTAAATGTATTTTATTGGGATTGCGTCTTTGATTCTTTGTATAACTTTATGAGAATTAGATAGGGTTAGATATCTATCATTATTAGGAGATTAGGTCTTATCATGATTAGGAGTTTAAATCCTATTTTACTTAGGAAGTTAGGCTAGAGATAGCTTTTTGGTTTTCCTATATATATTCTTCTATTGTTGGAGGAAAAACCAATGAGAAGAGTGAGAGCCAATATTCTTGCAATATACGGTTAGCAGAGGGCGTAGCCTGATTCAAAAATATTGTGCGAGAGGAGAGGGTTCCGTGATTTTTATCCGTACAAAAGATTACAATATTAGGAGAGGATTTCGCAGTCTTTGTCCGTTTAAAAGATTGTAAGGAGTGGGTTTTGGAGAGAATATGAGACTTGATTATGTATGTGAGGTTGAGAGATTGAGAGACGAGAGTTGAGTGGTTCCTCTTGTAGTTCTCCCTGATACATAGTGGATTTCTCGTATTGTTGTCTCGTGAACGTAGGTCAAAGTTAGTCGACAGAACCATGTAAATCTCGGTGCTCTTTTTTCTTGATTGTGGTTGTTTTATATTTTATTGATTGTGGGTTTGGCTTCCAAGTTGCGCAGATCATACTAGGCGGGGAGACTCAAATTCTCAACAAGTGGTATCAGAGCCATGATGATGGATCCGAGAGCAAATTCATAAGATAGATGTTATACAAAGGTGAAGATCAGCGGCGTTATAAGAATCGAAATGAAGAAAAAGAAAAAAGAAAGGTACTGTAGTAGCGGGAACACTGTAGCAACTGGAACACTATTTGGGTGAAGGTTTGGTTAAAAATTTATTAAATTAAATTCGACGGTGCAAATTAATTTGTCTTCTGAACGAGGGTTTGGAGGCGAATTTTGACAATCCAAGATTTGATTCCTAGGTTCTGGAGTACTCTGAACACGATGGGAGGTTCTTATTTTTCAAATTATGCTCAGGCTAGTCAGAAAGTGTAGAAAAGTTCTGATGGTGATGGCGAGACAAATCTGATGGTAGATAAGACAAACAAGTATATGACGAACAAGACTAGTGTAGAGAATCAAATGTGATTCTAGCAGTAGAGTTGTCATCATATAATTATTCAGAATCATCACGGGAACATGGGTTAGTTGATGTGTGGACTCGAGGAGGACATTGCCAGATTAGGTAGAGTTTGCAAGCAGGCACGACTGAGTGACACACATGCTGATGAAGATGGTGGCATTGGACTTGAAGACGATGAGCGCTCAAATCCTATCCAAGCCAAGTGATGAAGGAGATAGAGGCATCATGCTTGTAGTATGGAGTAGGAGAGGTGCACGGATATAGTTTGAGATAAGCGATGCAGGTGGAGCACAAGGACAACAAGTGGGGGGAGGCTATTGCCAGACTCAAGTTGGAAGGAGAAACATGATTGATTTGATTCTAATGTTAGAGGTGGCGAAAATATCTTGGTGTGTAAAAGAAAGGTGGAGGTGCCACATCGCGGTAGATGAAAGTGAGGTCACAAGGGCATCCAGTTGGAGTGTAGGCATTCTAATTAGGAGTGCGGCTATTTCGATTTGACGTGTAAAAGAATAGAAGACACCAGCAGGAGAGACAAAATTTCAAGACAGTGATGATATATCTTCAAGGGATTTTGGGAATTAAATCCAAGGTGAAGATTATTGGGATTGTGTATTTGATTCTTTGTATAACTTCATGAGAATTAAATAGAGTTTGAGGTCTATTATAATTAGGAGATTGAGTCTCATCATAATTAGGAGTTTGAATCCTATTTTAATTAAGAAGTTAGCCTAGACATAGGGTTTGGCTTCCCTATATATATTCTTCTATTGTTAGAGAAAAAACCAAGGAGAAGAATAAGAGCCAATATTCTTATAATATAGGGTTAGCATAGGGCGTAATTCAAAAATATTGTGCGAGAGGCGAGTGTTTTGTGGTCTTTATCCGTGCAAAAGATTATAATATTGGGAGATGGTTTCGCAGTCTTTGTCCGTTCAAAAGATTATAATTAAGGAGTGGGTTTTGGAGAGAATATGAGAGTTGATTATGTATATGAGGTTGACAGATTAAGAGTTGAGTGGTTCCTCTTGTAGTTCTCCCTGATACATAGTGAATTTCTAGTATTGTTGCCTCGTGGACGTAGGTAGAACTTGGTTGACCGAACCTTGTAAATCTCAGTATTCTTTCTTCTTGATTGTGGTCGTTTTATATATTATTGATTATGGGTTGGCTTCCAAATTGCGCAAATCATAGTAGGCGAGGAGAGTAAAATTCCCAACATATTTCTGGGTGAGAGATACTTCTTCTATTTACGTATAATGTCTTAATTATCTAATTGAGGTTAATGTAAATAAAATCGTATGAAGACCTGTAACTACAAAATAATACATCAACTTATATATTTGGCAAGAAAGTGAAGGGAAAAAAAAGAAACCGACCTAAGTCTGTTGCTGTTGTGTGCGGAAGCCACCAATCGTTGTGCTTCGAGGAACCGAATCAAACGCCAAGAGAGAAGACCAAACAATGTAAAATAATGACACAAACAAAAACAACCAATTTTTACGTGGTTCGGCAAGTTGCCTACGTCCAAGGGGCAAGAAGGTGATGAGTTTTCACTAATAGAAAAGGAGAGTACAAACTGAGATTACAAATCACTCAAAACAAACCAACTAATCTCACCAACAAAGCTCTCAATCTCTCAAACAATAACTCTAACCAATAGCTTAGAAAGATATCTCTTTTCTGTGCTTAAAATATCTCCTTGACTGCACCAAAGAAACCCTAAAACATGTGTTGGTATTTATACCAAACACCAATCCTAAACAGATCAAGAAACCCAAACCATGCTCAAACTCGACGTACAGTCGACCGCACTTGACACTGCAGTCGACCGTCCAGAACGACAAAAACCAATAAACAATTACAGGGTTTGGCGATCGATCGTCGAAATCATCATGGTCGACCGGCCAAAGCTCCAAAAATTGCCATATACTTGTGCACGTTTGCGGTCGACCGCAGCTTGTCTCGTGATCGACTGGCAAGCATCAAAATGCCTGTATGCTCCATTTTTTCCTGATCTTCTCCAATGTTTTCGCCGTTTTTATAATTCTTCACCTCGGCGAAGTTTTTCCAAAACTGAGCCGACACCAACCAAACCAAATGTCCCACTTGTTGCGTCCAGTACAAAGTAAAATAATTCACGACAACGGAATCAATTCACAACAAGTCGGGAACCCAAATGAGAATGCGAACAAACTCCAAAACGTCGGTATCAACCCATCAAATCGGCTGCATCAAAAAACTGACTGTCTAGTATCCTTTTGCCCAAGGAATCAAACATCACGTAGTTCACCCAAATGGCCTCCAAAGGTCCTCAATCCAATAGAAGAGTTCTTAACTCTTCACCAATAAATCTGCGGCTGATAGCTCTCCCAATGGCCCCAAAGTGAAACAAACCAAACACCTCCATCTGAGGTGAACCAACGGTCATATCCAAATCCAAACTATCACCAGTTGCACTCAAATCAACCAACTCATCATCTACATCCACATCAATATGATCCCCAAACTGTGTTACCTCAGCTGGAATCCCAAACAATATAATATGATCTGAAATATGTGGAGTAATTTCCACCCAACGTGGAGTAGCATCACCCTCCACCCGTTGTGATATCCCAACAATCTGATCAACACTCTCCACCTGCCGAGAGTCAAATGTGACATACTTGCTTAGAACAAAATCAGAGTCCCTCATCTGATAATCAAACGAGCATCTGAATCCTAAATGTGCACTCGGATCAAATCTCACATCCTCGATATAACCAAATACTGAGCAACCAAATATCTGACATAACCCAAAATCTGAAGCAGCTCCACCAGATCTAAAATCTCCAGACACCACAGTCGGCAACCTATGACTAAGATGACCCAAATATGTCGAAGCTCCAAAACTCCTCTACAATCCAATGCTCGACAACCAACGCCGATCCTCCTCCAGCAAGGAACGACCCATCAAAACTGTCATCTCATCTCTTCACCCTAATGTTTCCTCTCCAATGAAGTGTCTCAAACTACCGTGAGCTCGGCACAAATGTAAGAAAGAATCCCTACCAAAAATAGAACGACGGATAACCTTTCTGCCAATACACTTCCTCAATTTGTTGTTGTCTACTGGGACTTCATACCAACCGGACTTGGTTGCAACCCACAAATGCCTAGAACAATCCCCAACACAGGAAACCAAATATCGATTACCTCTTAATGATGCCTCCTTAGAAGGCCCCCAAATGTTTGAATGAACACCACCTAGAAGACCCCTCGCTCGGTGAATAGAAGTACCAAACTCCACCTCGGTCTCCTTGCCCATACCAATGTGCTCACAGGACTTCAATATCCAGGTCAAAGCACTCCTCTATAAACCAAAATTATTTGTACCATTAAACTTCTCCACATCTATTTTCATAGAGTGAATACTCAAACTTTGGACAGTCTTCACGCCAGAAGTACCCTCCACAACTCCTTCTTTCTCGGCCATCTTTCTCAAAGCACCAACAAACCAATGCAGAACAAACGAAGAATAGATCTAAACTAAAAAAGAGAGATTTTTACCTCCAAC